TCTTTATTAATTATATCATAGAATAATAACCAACTATTAGCATAATCGATCTGAGGAGAAAAAAAAAGGAAATTAATGACTAAAATATGATTTTTAAGAGATAGATATATTTTGTTTTGCTTACAGAAGTTAATTTAGGATCATGAAAATGAAGTGTTAGATAATATTCGAATAGGCCATCGTAGATTCGATCATAATTTCCTAAATTTGAGACTAAATCGAGTAGTTGTAAACGCCTAAGACAAAACAAAAAAGATTTTATAATAGGATTTCAAAGAAGAGAAAGAAATTTAATGTTAAATTATGATCTATAATGCGAAAGTCTTGTCACAAAATAGTCGCTCATTTTTCGGTCACTGGTTAGAGTTAAAAATAAACAGATTTTTTCTCTCTTGCTGAATATGTGTTCAGATTTTGCTTTGAGGATAGGTCTGAACAACTATCAGGAAATTTTATGAAAAAATCCAAAAGTATGTCTGTATAAAGCAAAATAGCGGTTTTGGCCTAGTCCATAGTTTGTATCTTGAAAAAGTTTCAACATAACATTACTGAATTCTGTACAAAATGAAATATTACAATAAGAAAAGGAGGAAACTATTAATACGAGTTGAGTGTGGGTGTCACTGAAGACAAGACTCACTTACACCATATCGTAACATTACGAGCAGAAGAAATATGAATTTTTTAATCTGTTATGCTGTTCAAATACCTGTTCTCTAAGAAAGTGTCTGCTACAGAGTACATAGTAATCATGAGTAATTGACGTTTGGAGACATATTTTTATACATAGGTAGCGCCTAATTGAGACTAATTTAATAGCATCTGTAAAGCTTTACTCGAAAAATTGAAATTGTCTAAACACAGTAGAAGTTCTTGGATTTCTAATATGAGGAAGTCTTCTATTTCTGGTAGTGACTCAGCTGTTTAATTTTATTCTATGAAGAAATTCTGAACATATATCTAGCAAGAACGAAAAAGTCTGATTATTTCTGACTTTAATCAGTGGTCGAAAAATGAGTGAATATTTTGTGTTAAGAGTTTCGTATCATAGATTATTTCTGTTCAATCAAATAATTAGAATTAGATAAATTTTTATCTTTTTTTATTTAGCATATAGAGAAGTATCGTTTTGATTGCATGTTGAACTAATTGAATCAACTGTTAATGCAAATCAAATATGAGAAGTATGTTGATTCATTTGAAAGTTTCATAACAATTTTTTAATCTTATCGTGCAACAAATTACTACTGATTCACAATAGGAATGTTTAGTGAAAAGTTCTTTTTTTCTTATACCTTGCTAATGGTACTTTGCCTGAACGTTTAAGTGGATCATCTAATTGAAGTGTTAATTGTGTTCTATTTTAGTCAAAAAATATATTTATAATATTATTATTTTGTTTTTTCTAAAAATAATAAAAACAAACTTTTTTGATGGTGGTATTTGTAAGATTTCAGTCCATATTTCAAATAAACTTTTTTGTGCATCTTTAACTCCAAGTACAGTTGTAGTTTCAATCATTTTTTTTGTTATTATTCGATCTTTTTGAGTAACAATAAACTAAATAGTTTTATATAAATTATATAAATTTAATTCAATTGATTTAAACATACTTGCATAAAATGAAGACATGATCGAATATCACATGCCGCTTTTACACATAAACTATTCAATGTAATTAAATCACTTTGAATATTTAATTGTTCAGAAATCTATATTAATAAAAAAACAAATAAAATTTGGTTTTTTGTTGATAATAAAAGAAAAAAATATATATTTAATTCTTACTGTTAATAAACGTTTAGCAAGTATAGTTTGTTCAATACGTGGAAAATTAAGTATAAGAGCTATTTGACGAAGAGGTTTTAAAGCTGGTACATATCTATTTATATTATTAAAAATTAATTGAGATTATAGAAATATTTACTAAATAACATACAAATCATTACAAATACAAATAACTGGTCGAAGAAGAATAAATGAATTATTTTTCTTTGTTTTACTACTTGCTTGTTGTTGATCAGCCGGTGTGCGAGTAATTAAATCAACAAGTAATTGTATCGATGGCTAAGAAATATACGATAAATAACTATAGTTTCATCAGATTTCAATGTACAAAGCTCAATGAACTGATAGTGATAGTAAAAAGCCTTTATTCCAAAAGATTATTCTTTGAAGAAACAAAGTATCTTAACTTTAAAAACTCTAGTAGTGACTTTCTGTAATTCGATAGAGCTTGTTTCTACGAAGATTAGTCTATTAGACTAAATATTTTATGGTTAACTTGTTGAATTCTATAAAAAAAAGACAGGCAAATAACCCAAAACGGAAACTCTTACTTGAGAATAGGCATGTACTAAACTTGTTATGAACAGTAGCTTTTTTACTTCTGAGTTTCTTGAAATGTAGTACTGACTATCATGTCGATAAGCAACACATTGGAGAGAAAACGTTAGAATGGATTGTATCCATTTCTTTGATCTATCCTCATTACTACAACATAATAGAGAGAAGATCACTTTGCAAATATAAGATAAAAGATTTTTGTCTATATCTGAATGCTTTATAAGATATATAGTGACAAGCAAAAGAACAAAATAAGGAAACATCGGTAAAAATAAGGATATATCAATTGAAGCCAAATTGTTATGTTCATATCAGACCGAACACGGACTCTCAGATTTGGTATATGTCTACATAAGGGCAATCATTCTTAGGATATAATCATTTCCTAAGACTTTTCATTAAATTATTGAGTCATATCTAGGAAGCTGCGAGTCCAAGTCCACAAAAACATTGACTTATAGCTATCTTCTTCTTTGATCTTGTTTACATAAATATAACTAAAACTATTCCATACAACTGAAGATTTTGGTGTTATCGTTGATTTGACGATTTTCAATCGTGAATTTTGTTTATCAATGATAGACAAATCACCAACGAAAAATAACTGAACCTAGATTTCTTTTTTCTGAGAGTAGCCAATAAATAGCTAAAATGTACACAAAGGGTGCCAGATATTAGTGGAAAAAAGTTCGGGTCTAGATTTGACCGGATTCGAGTCCACAAAAACGTGGTCCTCCAGCTCTCTATTCTCAATAACTATAATTTTGCTGAACTTTTCATCGAATTTATTTTCTCGGATAGAATTATCTTAAACATTATATAAAAAAACAAATAAATTACCGCTGGTGCTCCATCAATTTCATCAATTAGAAGACAATTTGGTTTATAATCTTTACTTAATACTTCTCTCATTTGTGTTGCTGTTTCAAGTCGTGTACGAAATAATTCTATACTTCGATCATCACTTTACAGAAAAAAAAAAGAAAAATCAATAATAAAAAACTAAATACAATAAAAAATTATAGTTGTTTACCTTGCATTCATTTCAATAACATTATATCCTGCATGTCGAGCAACAACATGTGCAAGAGTTGTTTTCTAATAGGCAAAAAAAATAAAATATATATCTATATATATAGAATGAAATAAATGACAAACTCCAGCTCCTGGTGAACCACAGAGTAAAGCAATTTTTTGTTGTGGTCGTTTATAAGCATCTAATTCAAATTGAATATCAGATGGATAAGTTTTTTTATTTATTATTCCTGTTAAATTATTTTTATCTTTATTTGATTCATTTGATGTTATTTGTTGATGACGTGTCAATATTGCCAAAGATTAAGCCATTCTAATAATGTTCGATTAATACCCTAAATAAATAAAATAAAAATTAAATATTCAATTAATACAAAAAAGAACCATAGTTATTTGAACTAACTATATCACTAAGTAGATCACAAAAAGCACGTGGTGCAAATTTTTCAACCCATAATTCATCTGTATATTCATCAACAATTGACAAAGTTGATTCATCTCTTAAAATCAATATATAGAAATTTAATTTTTTATTTCAAAACAAAACTAAATTGTATTTTACTCATTTTCAATGATAACTGTTGATCGTTTATCTATTGATTTTGTAAGTTCTTCTAATTCCTAATTAAATTTAATTTTTCATTTATTTAATGAAAAATCATTTTTTTTTTCACTTACTTGACGAACACGTTTTTCAATCATTTCATCAACTGATACTTTAAGTAGACTTGTTTTATTTCCATTATTTAATGAAAACTAATTTAAATTATTATGGTAAAAAAATAATAAAACAAACAATCTTATAATTATTACTTTGAAACAATCATCATCATCATCACGTACTAATAAATAATATCGTTCATTCAGATGACTTGTTAATACTACAAATGGTTGATTTGGTATTTGACAATGATAACGTGTTGCTAGAAAACAAGACAAAAAAAAACCATTCTGAAACATTCGCTATTAAAATCATTTTCACTCTAAAAAAAGAAAGGCTTTCTCCGAAACCGATCAAAATTGATTTTCGGACTAATCTCTAAAATCTTTAAAAGATTTTTTACAGGGAAAAAAAAGGGTTTTCGAGAAAACCTTTTTTTTTGTTAGAACGTACGTACAGATTATTTTTTGTTTCTTAACAGAATTTCTTTGTTTAATTTCTATAATTTCTGGATCTTTTTCGATTGAATCATCTTCATCAAATAATCTTTTTTTACAATCGACTAATAAAAAAATAAAAAAACAAACAAACATTTATTTATTCGAATAAAATTCTTTATCATATACTTTGAATTGAAGATCCATTTGATGTAGTTCCAAACATCTAGAACAAAAACAACAATTCGTCATTAATCCATTATCTATGATGAATCAAAATGAAATTTGATATGACATTTATTTTTTTCAATTAACTATTCGAGATAAGAATATTCAATCGGTATAAATAACAACAACAGAAAAGTGATGTTTACATTCAAAACATTTACAATCGATACGATGAAACAAATTTTCAACATCATTCTATTACTTTTCATCATCTTTATTGATATATCGCTATGTGTCAAACGGCTTCGTAAACAATCAGTTACATCTCAAGAAGATGCATTATCTTGGCTTAATAAATATGGTTATAATCCATGTTTAAATTCAACTGTTCAATGTAGTTTAAGTCTTTCAAGTTTATTACGAGATTATCAAAAACGTTTTCATTTAAAAATAAGTGGAAAATTAGACGATTCAACTAAAGAACATATGAATCGACCACGTTGTGGAATTCCAGATAAATCAATAGCTGAAATTAATGCTGCACTTATATCAAGTAAATGGTCACGTTCATCATTAACATATGCAATACGTGGTTATCCAACACAAATAAGTGAAACACAAACAACAAATATTATACGTGAAGCATTTCAAGCTTGGCTTGATCATGTTCCATTAAAAATTGAACCTGTTTGTTCAACATGTCAAGCAGATTTTGTTCTTGATTTTCTACGTGAACAACATACAGATCGGTATCCATTCGATGGAGTTGGTGGAACATTGGCACATGCATTTTTTCCTGAAGATGGTCGAATACATTTTGATAAAGATGAAGCATGGACAGAAAGGTTAGAATGATTTGATTTTTCGCGAGGTATCAACTATATGTTGAAACTTGATCTTCGACAAGATTCAGTCTTGAGATGCATTTCTTATTACTCAGCAATGTTATATTGATTCCTTCATTATATTATTGGAAAATATTATCAGTTAGAGATGTGTAGAGTAAAGTAGGGTAAGGGTAGAGGTTTACTAAGGTACGAGAAACGCTTACCATGCATGTCTCTAACATAATACTAAAAGTGACTTGACACCTGAAGAAGTTTCCTTGTTAGTTAGGGGACAGACTACGGAAAAACCTTAGACTACACATTTCTACTATCAGTGTATTGTATATATTTTATATTTTCCAATACTCTATAGATTCAAAAACGTTATATAGATGCTTGTTATTATTTTAGTTATCCTATACTCTGATAAACGAAATATAACTAATTTCTATTCTTATAGTTTCAATGGTTACGATACAAATTTATATTTGGTAGCCGTTCATGAAATTGGTCATGCACTTGGCTTAGATCATAAATATGATGAGAAATCTATCATGTATCCATCTTATCAACTAATGTCAAAATCAAAAATTCTTCCACAAACTGATCGTGATGACATTCAAACTCTCTACGGTAAAACACAACCATATGGGACACCACCAACAACAAGATCAACAACAACAAGATCGACAACAACAACTACAACATCAACGAGAAAAAATTATATTACTACAAGAAGTCCTGTTACAAGTCCTTCTGGAAAATTACATACTCGTTGTCGTCTCTTTCTTGATGCTGCTTTCAGTCATCCTGATGGTACATTCCATACATTCAATGCTGGTGTACTTTGGCGTTATTTACCCAATGAAAATACATGGGAAAATCAACCAACAATCGAAAAAACTTATCCAAAATTACCAAATAAACTAAGAGCAGGTGTATATAATAGTCGAAAACAAGAAATTATATTTTTTACAGATAAATATGTTTATCGTTATGATGTTGATAATCGAGATCGTATCCAATATCGAAGTGAACAAAATCTTCCAAGAAATTTACAAAATTCAATTGTTGGTGCTATTTATTATCGTAGTGAAATTTATATAATTACATCAAAAACAATACGTTTATTTGAATTAGGTAATAGGTATCAACAATCTAATGATCAAGCTTTAAGTGAAGAATTTCCACGTTTTACTGGTACAGTTGAAACTGCATTTAGTTATGGAAATTTACATCATTTTTTTACAACTAAACGACGTGTTTTTGTTTGGAGTGAACGATTAAATTCATGGCAAACATTTGATGAACCTATGGAAACAAGTTGGTTTGCCTGTACAAGTACTAATACATACAATCCAAGATTTATTCCAGTAGAACAACCAGCTGAAACACCTCGTCATCGAAGTCCTTATGGTCATCGTCACCATGACCATCATCGTCACCGTCACCGTGACCACGATCATTATAATTAGCGCGATTATAAAAACCAGAAATTAAAAAAAAAAAGAAACACAATAGTGCATGATATTTTTTTTTCTATATATATATAAAATAAAGCTAACAAACCAATTCAGTTTAATGTTGACAATAGAACGCAAAAGAAAAATGATCAAGAAAAAAAAAATGTAATACCATTTTACAATGAGCTACAAAAAAAATGAGGGTAATTATTTAAGTAAATCGGAATGATTTTTTTTTGTAACAAAAAAAAAAAAAGAAAAAAGGGAGAATAATACCATATTTATTGCCACTATTGATTAGTTAGTGATGTCGATTCATATGAAGGTGCTATTGGTATAGATATATGTTCATTAGTTGAACCAAGTACTGGATCAGTTTCTTGTGGGCTAGTTAATATAATTGTTGGTGATGTTTCATTATTATTTCCTTGAGTATGAATACCAGGAACATCTTCATCTTCCTATTAAAACAAAAGTTTTCTTGGGTTTGTTTTTTCATTTAATTTTTCAAAAGTTAGTAACTTACTTGAAATGGTGAAAATATATCTTCATCACGTTTATATTTACCACAACAATGGTTGCAACAAAAATTACAACAACAACCACAACCACAGAGACAACAACAACAACCACCAAAACAACAACATGTACTAATACATAAAAACCCAAACAGAATTTTTTTCCATCTTGGCATTCGAGCTAATGTTTCGGAATATTCTAAAATAAATAATTTAATAAATGAAAATATAAATTTAAATTAAAAAATTCTTACCATCATTCATTCGACGCATTGCATCAGCAGCTAGGAAAAAAAAAAGTAATATATCATTTTTGATTATTGATTAAGAAATTGAGTTCTTTAACATACGATATAGAAGTAATAGCATAAAATGTGTCGATCTGTATTTTTCTTCCCTTTCGAATCGTAAATAACTTATTTTTAAAACACATTTATAAACGGAATAGAAAAGAAAAGCGTCCTTACAAAGAATCGGTACTTTTCATGAGATTCAAAAACAACGACGCAAAATGTTGTTCTCTTTATCTTTTCGACAAACAGGTTTCAAAACGAATATTTGTTTATCAATTGATAGGAAATTTTTTCCTCTTTCGAACATTATGAACTCGTTAAAGAACATCGTATAAAACGGCAGTTAATTGTAATTTACTGTTGTCTACAAGAGATTTTTGAAGAAGAAAAATATGAATCATACACTTTTCGAATGAGAAGAAAATTTCCTATCAACTGATAAAAAAAATTTTTTTTTTTCAGAACCTATTTATCAAAGAGATATAAAGGTCAACATTTTGTGTGATCCTTTTATTGAAATGCACGAATTTTTTAGGAATACTTCTCTTTTCTGTTGCGTCATTTCTTTTATGAACATGTTATAGAAATAAGTTATATACGATTCAAAAGAGGAGACAAAGCTCTATCTTTTAGTAAAAAAAAAAGTTTTCTTTCAGCATCCTTTCTGTCGAAGAGAAATAAGGATCGACATTTTGTGTTATTACTTTTGCATCATCTGTTATTTTACCACTGAAACATCTAATCAAAGCTATTCTGTTTGTATCTTGTCTATTAAGGAAAGACATTATATTTTCATTGAAATTACGATGACTTAATACTTGTTAAGCACTCAAATAGACTTTGAGTTGAGACTATGTGAATGTGGTAACACAAAAATTAAGTTTTCAATTTCGATATGCAACTTTGCATAGAAACAGGTCTTAACGAGAATGTTTCATTGTGAAAGTTTCAGTTCTTTTGATTTGCTTCTATCCCGAAATAGGAACATCAAATCTGCCAGTTTATATAAGCGATAAGATCTGAAACTTTCACAATAAAACATTCTCTTTAAGAACTATCTCTATGTAAAATTTCAAGCCGAGATTCTAAAATTAGTTTTACTGGTACCATGACATTCATTTAAAAAATACCGTAAAAGTTCAATATCTTCGTAGCAATAAGCTAAAGACGTGAACTCTTTTTCAAGATATTTATAGTTCATTTGGCTCTACATAATGCACATTGTCTTGATTAAAAAGCAATTTATCAGTCGGTCGACTTCCCTCGTCAATGATTTTGAAACAGACTAGCAGTAGAAAGTTGATTAAATAAATAAACGAAAAATTAGAGTTCCAGAGAATTCAAGCTAAACCAAATTCGAAAATTTGCAATAATACTCTTTCCTTTAGATCTTTCAAAAAACTATCAAAATAAAACAATAAGATTAGTTTTTTACTCCAATTATTGTATCTAAAACAAAAATGAAGGATTTCTTCGTACCACGTGCTCCTAATTGATCATAAGTTGATCTTAATTTTGGATCAATAAGAACTTTATATGCTTTATCAACTGCTTGGAATTGAGTAGCTGCCTCTGGATCAGGATTTTTATCTGGATCTATAAATCAAACGTTTAAATAATTGCACATATATATTAATTAAACAAAAACAAACTAACGTAAACGTAAAGCTGCTTTTCTATAAGCACGTTTTATTTCTTCATCAGTTGCTTGTGGGGTTATTCCAAGTATATCATAATAATTTTGAGATGAAGTTCCTCTAGATTTTGCTGGATTTGATGATGATTCTGTATTAGAAGCCATTTATTAAAAATAATGATTTTTTATTTTTATAATAACTAACGACCACTTTAACAACATGAACAAAACATGTGTGGCCGATTATCTGAAAAAAAACAATCTAGTTTACATATATAAAAATAAACAATATTAAGAGTCAAGATCAAGTTCAGTTTGATT